GTGAACGTCACCCCAAAAATGTCTCCCAGCCGCATCAAGGTATAGAGAGAGCATCAATCGTTAGCCGGGGCTGCGTTAACTACAGCTGTGACCACTTTGCTTATCATCAGATGCATTTTCATTGAACGCATTTTATTTGTTTTATCTCCGTGCTGGCCAGCCAGTGCAAATATTTCCCGCGAGAGTACACTGAGTACAGGGCTCGAATGGCCTGGCGTTCGGATCGCATTGCGTGAGACAGGAGCTTGTGTTATTGTAACTATAAATGTTTTACACTCCCAATCGATTCTAATCATTTAGGAGGTGGGCTGCCTGCTTCGACCCTGTCTGACAGGGCCGTCTCGGGCTGAGAGGGATACATTACAATATCAAGCTGACACGGAGATACTCGATTTAAAAAAAGACAATTTTTAAAAAAACTTTGCAAGACGGGAACTCACACCTTCTGCGTGCGACAGCGAGGCGCTTAAATCACTATTCCATAGACGCTAGTGGTGTTTCTGTGAATGAGGTGAATTCTAGTTGATTGGTAAGAACGCTTCCGGATCATAAACACCATTCCGACGTGTTCTTATTCAGTTACTCATTGAATTTGTCTATCTCTCTTTCACGTTCACTTTGCTCTTCAAGATTTATTTCCGTGCAAGGACTCTCCAGAGAGGCCACAGCATATACAGTGACTTAATCTTATCAATATGTTTGCAAAAACCACAGAAATCTGATCCCACCAAAAGTCAAAGGAAGTTATTCATTCTTTTTAAAACTCTCAGCTTCTTAAAAGAATCGAAGTTCAGATTACACAATAGACAACACACAGAATTTAGAAAAAAGAAGGGGGTGGCAGTTGACCCAGAGTTGAATATCTCATAACATCTGCCCAACTCGGAACACAAGCAGAGAGAGAAAAAAATATATTCAAGGCACAAACAAACACACTGGACAGACATTACATCACACACTACATGTAGTTCTTTTATCTAATTTAAAGAACCAAAGCATTCAGCATCCTTGGGGATATGGCATATTAGTTAAAACACTAGATGATGCCCCCCCCTCCACCCACCCACCCAGCCCCAGGCCGAAAAAATAAATATTTAAAGTTAAATAATAAAATAAAATAGAATAAAACAATTAAAACTTAATATTTGAAAATAATCGTTTTTAAAAATAATAATAAAACAACAAAACAAAAAATAAATTGCCACAAGCTATCGTGCGGTGTCACATGCAATATGACAGGACCATTAGAGCTAGGCCTACAAATTGTATTTTAAATCAATCAATGACGGCTCCGGTCAGTTTTAAGATACAAAACGTCGTTGTCAACTGTGAGGACGTCAAATGATGTATTGGTCGAACTTTTGATGAGAACCCGAAAAAAAGGCTTTCTATTACACACTCACTGAGATCCTATGTCGTTAAATGAAAACAGTGGCATTTTACTAACTTCACTGTTTTTTTCAGTGTTTCACTATATCTAGCTTTGAAGAACATTTCGTTGTTTGAACTTAGAGAAATGGGCCACATTAAAACGTTAAGCTACAGAAGGGCAGGAACTAAACTTATCATTGGAAGAGTATTTAAAATCTTTATTTGCGATTACGTTATTAAACAAATCAGCTTCAAAAATACTCTAGACCACGAACTCTGACGCAAAAATACAAAGAGACAGACATAGAGACATACTGGCTGAAAGGAAGGGGGAGAGGGTGTTTGTTCATGAGAAGTATCGTATCTGGAAAGACAACAGGGGTATACGATGTTCCAGGGGGAGGGAGGGGGTGACAGAGTGAGCAAATGGAAAAGAAAAAGGAGGAGTCGTTTTTTAACGAAGTTCTGAAGCAGATTAATTTTCATATGTCTGCTATGTGTAGGTTATATTATGCGATCAAATGCCATAGTTTGGTTGTAGTTGTTCACTTGCATTGCAAATTGCACGCATTCAATGCGTTAGAGATTAGAGAATTCCATTGGCTTTATGCACCATAAATAACAGCTTACCTTCAAGCGCATCAACGCAAGCATTATACAAACTAGATCTAGATCTAGATCTAGATCTTGATCTATCTAACACGTTTCCTCATTATTATCTACTTTAAGTTGTTTTGTTGTTGTTTTTTCTTTAAATTTTACTTTTGTACGCTAATTTTGAGTGTGTTTTTTTTCTTCTTTTCATTAGGGGTTGTTTTGTTTTGGTTTAGTTTGTTTGTTTTTTTGTTTTTTGGGGGGGGGGTT